GGGCCTGTCTGGGGGAAATATTTCCTTTGAGGATAGGCTTTCCATTCCACTAGGCTGGGGGTGTCCCTGTGCCTGACTCAGGGTTTCCCACTGAGAAGGGACTGGGTATCTATAGGCAAAGGAGGGAAGAGCAAACAGGTAAGTGTGTGTAGAAAAATCTGGAAAGAAAAACCCCCAAATATTCAGAGTAGTTGTCCTCGGGTGGCCAGATGTCAATTTCTATAGTTTGCTTACTGCATTTTCTAATATTTTAAATAATAAGTGTATCCTTTTATGTAATAAGGTTACTTTTGAAAGAAAGGACTGTGGGAGGCACCTTCAGGCCTGGGAGGTGCTGCAGGTGGGCGAGCTGGAGGGCTGGCCCACACATTCCATGCAGCTCTTGCTCCTGGCCTCAGGCTCTCCAGCAGGAGCTACCTCTGACCCAGGAGACAGGGCTGCGTCTGTTTCCCAGGGTAACAAACACCATGCCTGGTGGCTTCACCATCACCCATCTGCTGCCCTCCATTTTAGAGGCCAAAAGTCCAGGACCAAGGGACCTGCAGGTCTGGTTTCTTCCAGGTCTCTCCTTGGTAGCAGCTGCAGCTGCTCCAGGTCCTCAAGTGGTCTCCTTGTGTGCACACGGGCCTGGCACCTGGCTTTTAAAGTAATCTCAGAGACTTGGGAGGCTGAGGCAGGAGGATCGCAAGGTCAAGGCCAGCCAGGGAAACTTAGCAAGACCCCTGGGTTCAATCTTCAGTACTGGGGGAGGGGGAAGGACCCTGTGTCTATTTGCAGTCATGTCTGAGGTTCTAGGAATTAGGACTTTATATGAATTGGTGGGGGGCTACAGTCTAGCCCTAATGAGATACTTCTAATCATCAGCAGGCATTTCTGGGTGTGGGGGCCTCTGTTCCCACACGAGCACTTGGTGCTTCTGCTCTCTGCCAGCTCCTCGTAAGTGATCCCTGTTCCCTCTTCCCCTCTGACCTGGCTCACACTCCCTTCCCTAGCCCTCCGCTGACCCAGTTCTTCCTGGAGTGTGGCGGCCTGGTGCGCACCGACAAGAAGCCAGCCCTGTGCAAGAGTTACCAGAAGCTGGTCTCTGAGGTCTGGCACAAAAAACGGTGAGAGACTGAGCCCCTGACCTTGGGCAGGTACACAGGGACTGGGTTTCTGTCAGTTGTCTTGATTGGACACATCCTGTAGATTTGGTCCTGAGCCAAGCACTTGCTTTTCATGACCCTGTGGGATGCTCACAGCAGGTTGCATGCAGCCCTGTTTTACCAGTGGGGACTGAGACTTCTTGCTCTCAGTCACAGGGCTTGGGAAGGACAGAGCTGGGATTGGGGCTGGCGGTGAACCCAGATGGCAGCCACTTCACAGATGGCTGTGACAGCCCCAGGTCTCGAGTGGTGGGTGCTGGCCAGGCACAGGCTTGTGGCTCAGCATGAAATGAATTTAAAGATCAGAAACCTGAGTTGGGTCTTTCACCAGGAAGTCAAAATTGGGAACAATTTATAATGAGCACTTAGAAATGTGTCAAGTGCAGAAGTGGATTAAGAGCCACCGATACTCCAGTTGTACTCAGGTGTGTGCCCCATGGGCTCTTGTATGTGTATTTTTGCAGAAAACTCAGGAAATCTGATTGTGCTTCTCTCCAGATGGTGCCAGTAGTGGTGCTTCTTTATTGTACTTTTCTGAAATTCTAGATTTTTCAAGAAGTAATGGGTATTGCTCTTAAAATAAAATTAAAAAAAACCATAATAGATGTTTCACAGTAATAAAGCAGGCTGGGCCCATCCTAGGCGCTTGGGAAATGACGCTCCCCAGTTGAGAGCTCCTTGCCCAGTCGAGGCAGCAGCCAGGCCTCTCGGGTTCCTTCCTGACCACCCTGGTCATGAGCTGCAGGAACCCCTGGGTGTCCCTGCACCAGGCCAGGTGCCCATGCCCTGAATCAACATAGATTCACTGGTCACCCGCATCTCAGTGCCAGTAGTGCAAGGCTGGCAACTTGGACTGATGGGTTTGGTCTCCCCACAGACCAAGCTATGTGGTCCCTACCAGCCTGTCCCATGGGATCAAGTTGGTCAACCCGATGTTCCGAGGCTATGCCCAGCAGGTAAGCCATTGAGCTGCCAGGGCACACCCAGTGCCTTGCTGTCAGCCGGAGGGGATCCAGCACAGTGCTGCAGGAGGTCTGAGTGGGTGGGCCCCCGACCAGGCACATACTGCGTAAGCCCTTCTTGTGGGAATGTGGGGCCCCCAGCCCCATTCTGGTGTTTAACCCCACTCTATAGGTGGGGAAGCTGAGGCTCAGGGGCCTTGTCACTAGTCCTGGTGCATAGCCAATGCACGGTGGAGGGACTCTGAGCCCAGGCAGCTTGGCTGCAGTGTAGCTGTCCCCAGCCCTGCAGTCACAGTGGCACAAACCACAGTGCAGTGTCACTTTTATTAAAGTAAAGATTTTAATTATATATTTTTTTAATATAGAGAACTCTTTTGAAACTAGCTGTCTTTATCTGTTTTATAAAATCATGAAGCCAGGCTGGGGATGTAGCTCAGTTAGTAGAGTGCTTGCCTTGCATGCATAAGGCCCTGGGTTCAATCCCCAGCACCACAAAAAAAAAGAAAGAAAGAAAGAAAGAAAGGTCCCAAGCTAAGCCAATGAATACCAAGGTCCAGGTCCCCAGGAGGTTCCCAGCCAGGCCTGCCTGTGTCACTTCTTGTGCCACCTGAGCGTGGGGCCCTGGGGTCCACAGCAGGCATTGGGGTTGCACCCGCTGTCCACCTCTCAGCCAGCCCACCAGCCCCTCCCAGGCCTGCTGCTGCTCTTTCTCTGCTTACCCATGGGTGGGCGCGTGCCTAGGGAGCCCCGCACTGCCTGACAGCCCCCTTTCTGGGGAGGGATGCATCCACTGTTGTCACCTTGTGTCACAGATCACACAAGTGTGGTGGCAGGGGTGGGATTCAAGCCCAGCTGAGTGCTGGCCCTCAGCCCTGGGTGAGGACACTGTTAGGGGAAGCTTGATGCTGCGTAACCTCCACCTGGCCTCCGGAGAACCTCCCTCTCTGGGTCTTGGACATGTGCAGGGACACTCCTGAGTCTGAAGTGCAGTGCAGCTGTGGGCCTCTCTCCGTGGCCGAGGGACACTGTCATGCCTCTGCATGAGAATTTGTCAACATTTGTCTAACACAATGTTGTGTTAGAAGGAAGGACCAGAAGGAGATGCAGATGGTGATTAAGGGCCTGTTTTTTCTGAGGACCTTTCAATGAGCCTGACTTGGGGCCCCTGCATGCCCCATGATGTGCACAGACTGGTGGTGGACCCACAAACCTGCCAGGGGAAAGCATACCCCGGCTTCTGTACTCCGGCTTCCGTTCCCCGTCAGTAGAGCCAAGAGAACAGGCTGTGTTCTCCAGGCTTGGGGCCGGGGCGTGGCTGGCAGCATGGCTGGCTTGGTTGGCTCTGCTGTATGACCCTCCCTGCGCCTTGTGGGGCCAGCACTGGTCAGGGACTTTCAGAGTTGGACTCGGGACCCAGGGCCTCCTCCAGTGCCCTCAGCTCTCCAGGTGGGCCGTGCCCGCCCCTAGTGCCCTTCAGAGCATCCTTGGTAGTGCAGCTCCCTGCTGGCCCAGTGGGCTGCCTGCCAGAGTCCACCTCCCCGGCTCCCGCTGCCTGGCGGCCGGGGCACCACTTCTGAGGAGAAGCCATCTGAGCACTGAGCCCATGTCATGCCCGAGTCTGCAAGGCCAAGGGACCCTGACCCCAGGGCCTGCCTTCCAGTGCTGCACCGGCAAGAGAAGGTGCAAGCCTGTGACCGGACGGTACATCAGGGAGGAGCAAAGGAAGGGTGATCGCGTGGCTGGCTGGCCTGCTGGGTGGCACTGCACCTCCAGGACTCTGCCAAGTCCTCCCCTTCTGTGTCCTGTCCTACACGCCCCTGCTCCCCACTTGCCCACACTGGCCTCTCCTTTAGGGAACAAGTGACTTCAGTGGCGAACACCGTGCTACAGATGTGGCATGTACCTGGCTGCACACCTGGCTCTGCCTGGCACTGAGTTGTGAGGCCAGGGAGGGTCCCCAGCCTCTGCCCTTCAGTGTCCTTCTCAGGAGAATGGGGATTAGGACAGACCTGCCCTGGAGGCCACCATGAGGGGCTGAGCAGCCTGTCTGCCCAGGGCCCCCACCAGGACCTCTCAGCAGCAGCTGGCATCCTGTGGGCAGGGCAGTGGGCACATGCAGTGCCCTCCCACGTGGACGGCCCGTTGACGTGGCCCTGGTTACAGGACACCCAGGAGTTCCTGCGCTGCCTGATGGACCAGCTGCACGAGGAGCTCAAGGAGCCGGCTGTGGCGGCCACAGTGGGGCTCACAGACACCCGGGACTCGGACTCCAGTGACACAGATGAGAAACGAGAGGGCGACAGGAGCCCGTCGGAAGACGAGTTCCTGTCCTGCGACTCTAGCAGTGATCGGGGTGAAGGTGACGGGCAGGGGCGCAGCGGGGGCGGCTCGCAGGCTGAGGCGGAGCTGTTGATCCCCGATGAGGCGGGCCGCGCCATCTCCGAGAAGGAGCGCATGAAGGACCGCAAGTTCTCCTGGGGCCAGCAGCGCGCCAACTCGGAGCAGCTGGACGAGGACGCAGACGTGGACACGGCCATGGCTGCCCTTGATGACCAGCCTGCCGAGGCCCAGCCACCGTCACCACCGTCCATCAGCCCCTGCCGGACCCCAGGTATCAGTGAACTGGGGGCACCCTGGCCACAGGGCCACAGCACCTTTGCCTACAAGCCTGTGTGTGCCAAGCCCAGCATGTAGCAGCCCACCCAGATCCTACCCTGGCTGGACTCAGGTGTGACGCAACTTCAGCGTCCAATCACCCGGCCAAGAGCCAGAGCCCGTGGGGTCCCTCGTGGGAGACAGAAGGGCAGCTCCATCCCTGTAGCCCGGGGGTGGGGCAGGGTAGGCAGACAGTGGGTTGAGGCTTTTGTCCCATCAGGAGCTGCTGGAAGGTCCTCCTGGCCTGAGGGACCCTATGTGGCTGCCCCAGCCTGGTACCATCCCTCCTCTGCCCCTAGAGCCGGACAATGATGCCCACCTACGCAGCTCCTCTCGCCCCTGCAGCCCTGTCCACCACCGCGAGGGCCACGCCAAGCTGTCCAGCAGCCCTCCTCGTGCGAGCCCTGTGAGGATGGGGCCGTCTTACGTGCTCAAGAAAGGTTCGGGGGCAGTAGGGTGGTGAGCTTGGGCAGGGCATGGACAGGGTACAGCGGCTGCCAGTTGGCACACTGGCTGCTGGAGGCTGGGCCGCGTGCCCCTCACTAGGCACACCCCTGGGATGTGAGCAGGGCAGCCCTGCTTCACAGATGACAACCTGGGTGCCAGAGGTGGGTCACACTCCCCGTCACACGATCCCGCATCCTGGCAAAGGAGGGCCCAGTGTCTGTGCCTTGCCCCATCCTGGTGGCTGGAGGCTGGGCCTAGTCCTATGCTGTGCCCCCAGCCCAGGCCCTGAGCACGGGCAGC